GTCCTGGCTTCTCTGTGATCCCCTGAGTAAAGGGAAATTTCTATGCTTGAGTTGTAACTTTATTAACTGTGGTCATAGAAGGTGGAGTAATTTTAATTGCAATTGGGAGAATATATCAAGATATGTAACTGTCCAAGTTATGAATTTAAAAAAAAAAGCATAACATCTCAAGAGCTGAAGTGTAAAACACTTTCAAACTTCTATAGTGGGGATGGGAGTCTGCTTGTCCTTAGATCACAAAGAGACTAGAGATGTGCAATAGTTTTTAAAACAATAACAGTCAAAGATCATGTAAGAAGGAATCAGAAATAGAATATCACAGTACTTGAGTTATACAAACTCTCTTTTCTCTATTATTCATGAACAGTCCACTTAATCTTACAAAGGCAATCAGTAAGAAAAGATAAAATAATTTATGTGCAAGAATCCTTGTATTCTACACAATTTGAAGTTGAGCTAAGAGCTTCCTGGAACCAAAGTTAAGAGAAAAGCAAAGTTAGGCTGAGAAAACAGCTCATTAAAATACTTGCCTCGTAAGCATGAAGAACCAAGCTTGATCTCTGGTACGTGTATATTAAACAGACATGGTAGTGCATGCTTATAATCCCAGTACTGGACATTTAAAGATAGCAATTCCCTGGTGCTTGGCCAATTACACAAATTCTATTTGACAAGCTCCAGGACAGTGAGAGCTTCATAAAATAAGACAGACAGTGTTTAAGGAACAGTGCCCACATGCATACACACACACACACACACACACACACACACACACACACACCTAACATTTTCTTTCAGAAAAAGAATTCTCTAATTGACTCAATAGACATTTGTGTGTGTGTGTGTGTGTGTGTGTGTGTGTGTGTGTGTGTGTGTGTGTGTGTGTGTGTGTTGTTCCCAAATACTTAGGACCAGAATTAGCTTTTTTGAATAAGATTATTTTAGATTTAAGAGTATTTTGCCACATGAATAAGATACCTTGGGAATGACACCCAAGTATGACAATACTTTTTGTCAGTACTGCCAGCCTTCAAATAATGACAAGGAGACTAATTATTAATTATGAAAGTTTGCCTTTAGCTTAGACTTGACTCAACTAGCTCTTGTAACTTAAATTAATCCATTTATATTAATATATGTTCTGCCATGCGGTGTTACCTCTCTTCCATCTTGTACCTCCTATTTCCTTTCCGTGTCTTGCTGGCAACTCTGCCTTTCTTTTTCCCAGAGTCCTCTCTGTCCCCAGAAGTCCCACCCAATCTCCTTCTGCCTAGCTAGTGGCCATTCAGCTCGTTATTACACCAATCACAGCAATATATCTTCACACAATGTACAAATATCCCACAACCCCCACCCCATTTCTCCAAATAAAAAGGAAAGAATTTAACTCTAACATAATAAAACTACATAGAATAAGAACAATTATCAGGTAAGAATTGCATTCACAATATCTAGTCCATTTGTATTTGGCGTATTTGGAGAAAATACTCTGTTGTGGAATATTTGTACACTGTATGAGCTAGGCAAGAAGAGATTATGCAGCACTTCTCGGACAGAGAGGACTCTGGGAAAAAGAAAGGCAGAGTTGCCAGCAAGACCAAGAGAAGAAGCAGGAGGTAGAAGATGGAAGAGAAGTAATGTCATGTGGCAGAACATATATTAATATAAATGGATTAACTTAAGTTATAAGAGCTAGTTGAGACAAGCCTAAGCTAAAGTCACAGCTTTTATAATTAATAAGAATTCTCCAAGTCATTATTTGGGAGCTGGGAATACAGACAAAAGAATTACTAAAATACTCTAATATCTATCCTATCTTGATGAATCTAAAGTTTTATATCTAAATCACTTTCTAGCATAACTTGTATTATCATCCTAAAACTATTTTTTTAGGCTTTAAAATGTTTTCTTAGATTAACAACTTAAGCTTTTATGCCTCTCAACCTTATAAATTTTGCATCTCCTTTATGAGTTTCTGAATTTGGTAACAAAAATGGTGTAACTGTCTAATCTTTAACCCCATCAGAGACCCAAGAAGGATAAAATATTACCTGAATAAACAGGAAGTGCAGAACAAGCCACTTCCCAAACTATAGAAATGATGGAGACATCTTGCTGCCTGGACAGTCACCCAAAGTTCCTCTGCAATGTTGGGACATCCATCTTCAGTCCATGCTTCTAGAATAGCTGACTTTTCTGTGAAGCATCAGTTTTGAAGGACTGTCCTACTTTGTATTGGCATTCAGAAGTTCCCTTCTTTCATGTCCTGCTTGTCCAATTTGGACAACATTCTGTCAGCAGTAGAGGCAAGGACAGTTTCTTTGCCCAGTGGTTAACTTTGCAACAAATGAAAGCAAACTCCATATGGAGGTTCTTTGATGCCCATCATCCATTTATGAAGTAGATTGGGGGGCCAGGCACATACGTATCTCACTGTTATGAATAGCCTTATTTTATTAAAACATCTTAAGTGCTCTGTCCTGTAGGTCTCTGAAGTGTTTGAAGACCATCTATTTAAAATATGTCTCTGCTTGACCTTGAAAGCATACCTAGCTATAAGTTTGAGGTACCCTCACTTCAGTGCCCTGGGATTACTTTTGAAAGGCATTATAGCCTGAGCACTTGGGTACCATAGAGTAGAGAACACTCCAGAACTTAGAACCTTACATGAAACCTCAGGAGACACAGAAATAGAGACAGTGGGTTCCTCAGCTGCACTTGGTCAATTTGTATCCCATCCTTTCTGATATTTATGTCTTTGCCCATGGTGGTGACATGAAAAGCTCTTCCTCTGGTAAATGGAATACATTGGTTTCAGTTTTTTCCTTAACCATGGTTTATGTGTGTAAATTAATTATTTTCTAGTTTATACCAATTTAAGAAGCAACTTAAGGGAGGAAGGACTTATTGTGGCTCACAGTTAGAGGGGTGTATTGGTTACACCCTCTATTTCTTCTGCTTTGCTAAAACACCATGACCAACCAAACACCATTACCAAAAATAGCTTAAGGAAAAGAGAATATATTCAGTCTTATTGTTCTAGCGGATAAGAGTCCTTCATGGTTGGCCCAGTGGAAGTCATGGCAGCAAGACCAAGAAGCTGAGGGAATCACATCTTTTACTACAAGAACAAATCAGAGGGAGAACTATAAGTAGGGTGAGGCTTTTAAATCTTAAAGCCCAACCCCGTTGACATGCTTCCTCTAACAAGGCTGCACCTTCCCATAACATATTCAAATGGCAAACAGCACCACTGAGGACCAAGTGTTCAACTGCCTGAGTCTGTGGGAGACATTTCCCATAGACTACCACAAGGGGGTGCATTGTGTAATGGTGGAGAAGACATGGCAACAGAAATGGCTTATGGCTGTGGGAACAGAAGTATGCTTATGTCTGGGTGGATCAGGATGCAAAAAGAGAAATCTAACCAGGATTATATCAAAACCTCAAGACCTGTCTCCAGTGACCCTCTTCTTCCAGCTAGTCCTCACCTCCTAACTGTTCCACAATTTCCTATGACAGTGTCACCAACTAGGGACCAAATGTTCAAGCACATGAGCCTATTAGGGATATTTCACATACAAACTTAAAAATACCTACACACAGACACTAGGGCACAAGCCTTGGACTGTGGAGCTGAGCTAGTCATTTGTTCATCACAGTGACTTTGCATTCCTAAATGTTAGTTTCCCTTGCAGAAGCTTGAAGTTTGCCTGGTGGCATTCTGTTCACCTCAGTCCCAATGTCAGTACATCTCTCAAAGAAGATTCTTCCAGAGCAATTACTAAGCTGTCGCTCATCTAAGTGTGTGTCATCTGAAAGTGCTTAGAACTGGAGCTGAACTCTGGAAGCAGGTGCAGTGAAACATGTCCTTTATATAGACTGCCAGGAGAAGGTGTGGTCTAGACTATAGGTGGATTTTCCAACTTCAGAAGCTCTGGATTAAAGGTTATCTTCCCAAAGATCCAGATTAGAAGTGGATCTTCACACTTCATATAATTTAATTGAGTAAAAAATCCCTCACAGATGTACCCAGTCATCTTGATTTTAGTTAATTCCAAATGTAGTCAAGTTGATAATCAAGAATAACTACCAAAAGGTGAAAACGATCATCCATGTCATCAAGTCTGGTCTTCTGCTCATTACATACATGTACCCTCCCTCCTACAAGGCCTGAGGTTTGACACCCCAAACCTACTGTATATTAGAATCCAGGGGGCTGCTGTTTATGAAGTGACTATTCAAAGACTCACCCAGAAAGAAGCTATCCCAGTGACATTTGAAGCAGGACCTGTGCAGTTCTATGCAGACCTCAGTCCAGAAGCACGGGAACTGGTTTGGTTAGTTCACTGTTGTGTTCTTTGTGGTCAGAAAAGCATGGTGCAGAGTAGAAACTCAGTAAATCCTTGCTGCTGTGGTCCAGCTAATCCAACAATGACTGTCTATGACTGGAAGGTCTAAGAATCCATTAGTTTTTTTTAGTCCACACACCTGGATTTCTTGACTGGTCTTAAGCAATTATGCCGGAATCCTGAAGAAGTAGGCTCTAATGCCAGTGAAGGAAAGGACTTCTTAGCCAGGGGCATGAGAGTTGGATCCTGTAGCCTGTCTGAACTTGTCCCATTCCTGGAAGCTTCTTGCAGACAAAGTAGCTCCTTTCTGCATTGGTGAACTTTAGTGGCTCCTGGTCATCTCACTTACAAGCCAAATCTCTCTTTTAATCTTTCTTCTTTCAAACTTTCCAAACAATAAAGATTCGAGTTCCTTATAGAGGAATCAGCTTCAGCCTTAGAGCTCAGGATCTTCGAGGTGTACCCTCCCAGTGAAATCAGTAGTGGGCAGTGAATACATGAAAATAAAAGATTGCTGGTTGCTATGGCAAAGTATCTGACAAAGCAACCTAAGGAAGAAAGGGTTTCTTTTGGCTCATTGTTGAGGGATATACTCCATTATGACAGAGAATATATGTCAGCAAGTGCAGCTCTAACTGTAATGTATGTGAGATGCTGTCACATTATGTCCACAGTCTGGATTCAGAGAGAGAAGAACTGCTGGTAATCCACTCCCTTTGTCCTTTTTATTTAATCAGGGACTCCAGATGTTTAAATACCTTTTTGTGCATATCTTCTCAGGATTATTATTTTACACCAACATACTAGGGGCACCTGGGGCAGGGTCACTGTTCTTTCGGGCTGGTTAGTAAATGGTAGTTATTATAAATGTTTTTCTTATTATAGACATCCTGCACTGGGGCATGCAATTCAATGGCCTATGATAGTTTCTATCCAAAAATAGCATATAAGAATAAATATGATGTTGTAGGGCATTGTTGAGTTTTAACATTTTAACATTCACCTGGTGATGATATAAGCAAGCACATCTTGCTTGATGTGCAGCAGTGATCTGCAATATTTTTTCTGTGTAGGCTAGACCTTTTCCGGGTATGAGGTGTGGTATCTACTCATCTGTCCATCAATACTGTATTGTACCCCAAGAGCATGTGAGATTTTAATCAAGGAAGTGAAATCATCAGAGTGGAGTGGTAAAAGCTGTCCTGAGGAAAAGATGATCACACTCAAATTTATTGAGGTAATTCAGAGATGATGAAGGCAATATGGATCAGGAAAAGAGATGAATCAGAGACATACAAATTGGGACAGTTGAATTGGTTTCTATTATGGTGAGGGTATGAAGAATTCGGGGCGGGGGGCGGGTGTGGGTGGGTGATATGAGAGAAGAGACCAATATAGAAGAGAAAAGGATTGTAGACTGGATTTTGGTCATCTTTTGTTTAAGGTCACTGCAGAGTAATGCGACTAAATCACTATCAATCCACGGAATCAGCTTAATGATCAAAGGAATTTTGGGGGGAGGTAACTCACAAGACAGAAATAAGGGATTGTAGCAGGGTCCTGGAAGGGTGAGGCAAGTTCCAAGGTGTGCTCTGGCGAGCTCTGCCCTGGTCCATCTCAGCACCCAAAATCCACAAGGTACAGAGAGCACATATGTGCATCCCAGGTCTTAAGGGTCCCTGACGGCCACAACCAAGGTGCAGGTATGTAGCAGCTACCTGCTGCCTCACTAGGGGTCATGCCTCAGGTCATGGCTCAAACAGCTACCCGCTGTAGCAGAGCATCCAGATGAAGATGGTAATAAAATAGATAAAATAGAAGGAAGGAAAGGAATTTGGAGAAGGGCTGGGATCAGTAAGGCTCTTCTAGTCAGTGGTATTTGAAGCCATCAGAGTAGATCCTATTACCCATGTGTAAAATTTAGAGCAAGAAGAAAAAGGAACCAAGGAAAGGAATTCAGGAGGGATCAGCACAGTCAGGGGATTCTGACTGATGTCTGGGCCCATGGAAAAGACATGGTAAGTGTTTAAAGGGAAAACAGTATTACAGAAGCTAAAGTTTTAAGAAGGTAGATCAGCGTGAGGCCAGGCCCAGCAGGGTAGGGTGGAGGTAACAGGGCTATATTTTATATATCCCTCCTATGCAAATACTGTTAGTCCTTCTATAGGAAAACCTGGAAATTATTAATAATGACCATCAGAAATGTGGTCTGTTAACTGTGTGTTTTCTCTCAAATGTGGAACCTTGGATGGATGGATGGATGGATGGATGGATGGATGGATGGATGGATGGATGGATGGATGGGGAGATGGGAACATCGATAGATACATAGATAGGGTGAATGTCATAGAGAATAAAAGTAGAAGTGTGTCCCTTGTAAAGAAGAAAAGGACTACCAGATGTAACGAAGGACAGGAGAGCTTAATGGAAGGTGAATATGGTTAACATGCATCATATACTTTAATGAAAATGTTTTTATGAAGCCCTTCACTTTTTACAATGAATGTATACTAATAGCATTAATTAATTAGTACATATATCCCCCTGTCTTTGTCATGGTCATGTTTCCTTCCTTACAGCAAGAGAACAATTGTTGAGCCTCACATTCCCATGTGCTGTAAGTAGCATAATACCTCTCTGACTCTCCCTCTTCACTCCTCTCTTCTCCCCTAACCTAATAGCAGAAGGCCTGCCTGGTGCCAGTAGGTGCAGAAGAGGGAGATGGGGAGTTCCTAGCCTGGAGCCATTCATCTGATGGCTGGTGACACCAGCAGCAGAGTCCCAACAGTATAGCAAGCTTGTTTGCTCTTGCCTGGTTGTTACTGTTGATATATGAATAAGCAAGAAGACAGCTTCATTTTCATAAGTTAGCATGTGCCTAGAGTAGGGAAGACTGAGAACAGCATAGTTAATCATAACCACAGGGCCAGCACAAAAACAATGACAAAGCCTTTTCTGTTAGACACAGTGTTTAATTATAATAACTCCTTTGGAGATGAGACAGGTACTGCAGAATGCTGAGTGTATTAGGATGCTGTGTAAGCCTATGTTATTCCCCAGAGGAATTGCCAGGGAATTCACTTCTTAATGGAATGGCAGGCCATTGAGCTGTTTGTATAATCAAGGTTAAGTCTTTGGACAGAGGCCTCTGGAGGCCAGGATGTTGTTGCTATTCAGTCCTGAGCTGGGTGCATGTCTCACCCACCCTAACATTAAGCAGCAGAGGGAACTTCTGTACTAGATGGATAATACTGAATAGCACGTAGCAAAAAAGCTATGAAGGAAGCTGGGAGCTGGGAGGTCTTCATGTGTGAAGGAGGGGCTGCCTGCTGTACAGGAAGGGACATGATAGATGGACACATCAAGTGTCAGACAGGCTTCCCCCATACTCTACACAGAATTAATTAATCTCTCCTTGCCATTCCTCCAACTTATTCTGTCACTCAGGTATCTTATTGCTTCATAACTATTTATCTTTCTCCTCATCTAACTGCCTCTGGGTCAAGGACTACACTTTATTTGTATTTAATTCCTTCATACTTTGTGTGTTGTCTGACACCAAGCAAATCCTCAGCAGATATCAGACTGAACCAGAGCCTCAGCAGCTCAGGAAGGGACCAAATGGAGGAGATGGGCAATCTGGCTACATAGGGTAGCACAGGCCACCAGGGAACTTTTATAATGTACCACCAGTTGCCAAAGGGACATTTTGCTATTTTTCTTTAATTTATGTGTATGAATGGTTGCTTGTATGTATGTATGTATGTATGTATGTTTGTATACCATGTGATTACAAAGGCCAGAAGAGGGCATTAGAACTCCTGGAACTATAGAATTATAGATGGTTGTGAGCCATTGTTCAGGTGCTGGGAATCAGATACTGGTTCTTTGCAAGAACAGCAAGTGCTCTTAAGCACCAGCTATCTCTCTGGCTTCTCTTTTGAGATATTTCTGAGTAATGTAATTTGAGTAAACATGAATTACCTTAGACCTGGGGGGGGGGCGCGTGTAAAATCTAATTCTGATATATCTACTTCTTAACTTCTCTTCCCAGATGTCTCAAGAAAGAAACAGAGAGGTTAAGTAACTTCCTCAGTCACACATCTGTGAAGTGGAGAAAGCAGGATTTTACTCCTTACAATTTTCTCACATCTATATTCTCTTAACTGTGTTCAAGAAGTACAATACTTGGGGCTAAAGAGATAGTTCAGTGACTAAGAGCACTGACTATTTTTCTAGAGGACCCAGATTTGATTCCCAGAACTCACATAGTAGCTCACAACTATAACTCCAGTTCCAGGAAATCTAACACTGTCTTTTGGCCTCCATGGCCACATGGTACAAGCATGTCTACACAAAACATCCATACACATTAAAATAAAGTAAAGCATGTGTAGTACTGGATAATTCTGCTGGTTTGTGAGCTGAATGTGGACATCATTGCATGAGCTAACTGTATGTCAAGCCCTGCAGATGAACCTAACACTAGGGCAGAAACTAACCTTTTAGACACATCAATAATTTGTTTTCAGTGTACATATGAATTATATAGGAAATGATTTGGTAATTTAAATTACAAGGCACCAGGGTGAGAGTTGATGCTCAGACATGTTGATATCTAAGAGAGTGAGAATACTCAAGAGATTAACCACACACCCACACATACCACACACTAACTTGCTCAGACATAAAGGAGTGAAAGCAAAGTATCACCTTGTATTATTGATGAAGATGATGCTAATGTGCATCTATGATGTGTCTCCTTAACATTTAGGCCCATAGTTATAATTGCTCACCTTTTGCAGGGCTCCCTGAATAGTGAGGTCCTTGTCAAGATGGGGCTGCCCTATAAAACCTAGAGATGGAAGAGCACGTTGAGTGCACACAGTGACACACAAAGGAAGAAGGGCCAGACAAGAAGGAATAAAGAGGAAGAAGGGCTAAGAGGAAGCTAAACTGGTAAGCTTAGTTTTCTCAAACTCACCAGTTAGTTCATTCACACTCATGGGAGAGAAAGTTACTAAAAACAGGGCAGGAGGTCCCTCCTCTTGGGATTGGAACAGCAGAAGGACATAGCCTTACACTAGCTATTGATTTTTATATTGTAGCTCAGGAGCCTATTTCTAAGCTTAAGGGAGGTATTTAACATTAGGAGAATACTTGTATATCATACATAGAAGCCTATGTCCAATCCCTAGTATAGCAAAAATAAAGGAAAGAAAAGAAACCATTGACTTGGGGAGGATGTATTGGGTGCATTGACAGTGCTTTATGGGGATGAGAACAATAGGTCAGTCAGTAAAGTGCTTGAAATTCAAGCATGAGAACCTGAATTCAATCCTGACACTCATGTAAAAGTCTAAGTGTGGCAGAGGACATCTATAAGAAGGCTAGGAGACAGGGATAGGAATGTCCCTAGGGCTTGCTAGCTTGCCAGTCTAGCAGGAACAGCTAATCTGGGTTCATTGAGAGACTTCATTTGAAAATTTAAGGTAGAGAACAATACAGGAGTACATCTAATGTCAACCTCTACCACACACACACTTATACATACACACACTTATACATGCATACACTTGCACACAACACACACAAAAAAAGCCATGTAGGAACTCTCAGAAGAGTCATTTATATAGCCAGCATTTGTTAAACATTTACTGTGCATGAAATATTACCCAGACCTTACCCTTTTGCTAATGGAGGAACATGAGGGGCAAGTATGCTTATTACCCAGTTAGTGATTTAAGGGATATAAATCAGCTGAGGGCATCAATACTGATAGGAAGTACCAAATAAAAACATATGCTATGAATACAAAATATAGTCAGACTTGGGGTTATGTGTTAAGTGTCAAGCTCAATATAAGCTTTGAAAGGACTGTGGGTAAGGATTAGCAGGTGCAAGTATGGTCCTTGCTGAGGGAGTTCTTAGTGAGTGAGAGAAGCAAGAACACAAGTAACACTCTACAATTTTGTTGGAATAAAGCATTAGCTAGGAGAAGACTTATTTGAAGCAATAGGTTGAGGCCAGATAAAATGTGGGTGGTGCCAAAATACAGAATTTGGATTTCCAAATATTCAAAGTCTGTCTTCCCTGAGATGCAGGTAGCCATCTTCAATGCATTAAAACCTCATTTCCTGTTTGTCAGTCCTGAGTATATGGCATCTGTGTTAGTTACTTTTCTGTTGCTGTGCTAAAACCCCGTGATCAAAAGTTATTTACAGAAGAATTTAATTTTACTTATGGTTCCAGGGAGATAAAAGTTCATCATGGCAGGAAGGTGTGATAGCAAGCAGCAGGAATGTGATCAGGACCAGGAAGCTAAGAGATCTCATCTTCAACCACAGACATGAAGCAGAGAGAGAAGCAGAAGTAGGGCTAGTCTAAAATCTCTCAAAACCCACCCTCAGTGATGTACCCCTCAGCAAGGCTGTACTACCTCTCCAAACAGCATTACCAATTGGTGAGCAAATTTTCAAATGCCTATGTGAGGGCATTCCTCATTCAAACCACCACACCTTTGTCAAGTCTGAGTTTTTGATGCTCTTTATCAATCCAAAATTATTGGTGATACTAACCCAGGTTCCTTAATTAGCATAAGCCATCACCCCCAAGGACTATTTTGGCTTTGTCCCATGCTCCATGTAAGGTTACCAAATTGTTCTCTAGTGCCAGGATTCCATTTACAACTTCTCCGCTAAGGGGGCCAAGCCTTTTTGAATTGGTTGTTTTGCACCAAACCCCAAGGTTATGGCCTAAGGCATTGATTGGCTCTTGTACTCCTTAAATTGAGTATATAATATTTGATAGGATTCTTCAAGTTTGGGATGTGATCCCAAACCTTGACAAAATGGGCATTAGTATTTTTCCCATGCCTCTAATATATGTGTTTGTGCTGTGATGATGATCTAGCTAGCACCTCAATAAATTGGTCAATTAAATTATACCAAACCTTTGCACCATCATTTCAGAGACCTGTCATCATATCAAGGAGGTTCTGTATCACCCAGAATTGTGTTCCAACAGTACTGCTGTGTTTTGTTAGCATGCTTCTGGGTGTTCATTTGGTTAGAAAGCCCTTTATTTCTTTGATTGTCCAACAGCATGAGAAGTTTCACTTCAGGTTAGCTGTGAAAGCCATCAATGGCTACTTGTGTGCCTGTTAGTAAATCATTTAAAGTCCCTAAGCCTCAGTTTCTCTTTCTGTGAAATATGGATTGATGATACCTGCTTCAAACATTTGTTATAAGATTAATCACTAACGCTTTGAAAAGAAAAGAATCTTGATGACAGACAAATGCAGATTTACATACTAGCTCCATCAGCACTTGTATTAGTCACTGGTTGTATGAGAGCCTCATTTCCCAGTCAATAAAATGGCAGGGGTAATTCTAAGACACCTTTTACTGATGTCTTACATTAGAATTGTGTGTGTGTGTATGCTACATTCCAAACACACATCCCTTAGTGATGGGTTACACTTACTAGACACAGCCAAATATGATTAATGACACCTTAGAAATACCACCCTAAATGATGGACTATAAAACTAACCCACCTGAAATGTTATGTTCCACCAGAGACAAGGCTGACTATGGGAACAGAAGAGTACTTATCCCTCCAGATGACACTATTGCATTGACATGGTGGTGCTTATTGACATGGATGTATTTAAGAAGTAGTAAGAACAGAAGCACTGTGAGGAGCTGGTCACAGAGTGGCTCTTCACTATGGGCTCTCATCTCATCAAACAAGGATAATTCCTTAGTCTTTGATGTAAAAAAAAACCTACAGAAAGCCAATAAATTAATATACAATGGAAAATATCAAATTGGAATGCTTGAAGATTAGTATTTTAGGACATAAAGATATACTTCATGTCCCATGATTTAGGAAATGAAATGCAACCATACATACATGGTGGATGGATGATTGTTTGGGTAGATGGATGGATGGTTGGGGACTCTGGCTTTATCAGAAATAGATGACCTTGAACAAGGTAATTAAACATTCTGGGAAGCTGTCTCTTCTCTGTAAAATAAAGATCATAAAAGCAGCTGCCTAGTTGTAAGAATGAAATGTTAATGCAAGTTAAACACTCAGGTCAGGACCTAGCACTTAATGAAAGCCCCCAATGAATGCGAGCTGTTATTATGAGGATCTGCATAATTATTCCTTGTGTTTGGTACTCTCTAGCCCCAGATACCTAAGCTGCAGCTTCTAAGACATCTGTGTTCTCTGTGTTTTTCAGGGCAACAGGTCCTGGGCTTGGTAGAGAACCAGAGTGACTGGTATCTTGGAAATCTCTGGAAAAATCACCGTCCATGGCCAGCCCTTGGAAGGGGCTACAACACAGGTAAATCATGGCAATGTGGGTGGGGGACCACAGAGAGTGATGCATAGACTCATTGTCCTTTCCTAAAAGAAAGGAGATGTGCAGCAGCATAGAGGAGGACACCTGATTTCCTGATTTCATCAGAGCACAGGTCATACACACATGACATCTCCAGTTATATTTCTTCATGTCATGCTGCAAGCAATAAAGCAGTTGAGCTGTGGAAGTATGGCAGTCTTTCCAGAAGGCTCCTCTGCTGGTTGTAATGCTGAGAGCCTATTGAATTTTTTATCAATTTGACCTGTAATTTCTTTGACTATTGATACAAATAAGATATCATTCTGGAGGAATAAATTCAATATTCAATCCCTTAATTGAGCAGATGTTGTCTTATATATTGTATGTGCACTTTAGATCTACAGGGATCCGCACTTGCAATACGTATCAATCTTTATCTTTCTGCAGTCTTCCATGTATAGATGAGGAAAGCAGCAGGAACTCATATTTCCTCTGACTGTTCTTATCTTTAAAATGTCCATGTACAGCCTACCCAGCAAGTGGCAGGAGAAAAGATAGACATATTTGGAAATTGGTAGTTCTAGGTACTGCATTCCTCAAATCAAGTAATTTCTTCTACTTTGTTACTAAAACACACCTTGCAGCTTCTCTTTTGTTTCTGTCTCTGTTATTGATAGTCACTTGTGCAGCCATTCTTTATTCAATAGCTATCTGGATTCTAAGTACCTTAGATTCAGTCCGTGGCTTCAGGGAATAAATAAGTAAAGAAAGTAGAACCCCCTTTTATTTTCTCCCCCAGTGCAGTTCTTCTCAATGTCTATCTCCAAAATGCCCCTGGATCCTTCTCTTTCTTCCATACTCATTGCCATTGAGGTGATCCTTATTTTCAAAGGATGTACTCACTATTTTTTTAATCATGATTAGAACTTGGGGCTCAAGAATTTCAGGTCTTGTTGTAACAGCCCCCAAATCATAACACAGAAACTTATTATTAGTTATGAATATTTGGTCCTGCCTTATGATTGTCCCACTAGCTCTTACAACTTAACCTGTTTCTCTTCATCTACATTTTGCCTCAAGGCTTTTTACCTTTCTTCCATTCTGTATATCCTACTTTTCCTGTTTCTTCCATGGCTGGCTGGCTGGTAGCTGCCTGACTGGCCCTGGGTATCTCCCTCTTTTTCTCCCTTGTTCTCTCTTCTCTTGAGCTAGATTCCACTTCTTACTGATTCTCTCTGCCTGTCAGCCCTACCTGTCCCTCCTCTGCCTAGCTATTGGCCATTTAGCTTTTTATTAGACCAATCGGGTGCCTTAGGCAGGCAAAACAACACATTTTTATATTTTTAAACAAATACAGCATAATAAAATATAACACACCTTTATGTAGTTAAAGTAATATCCACAACATAAATGTAACATGTCTTTCCATATAGTTAAAGAAATATTCCACAACAAGGTACCAAAATGGGCTTGTACTTTTTGAGAACATCAGCTATGCTGAGTTGGGACAGATGTCTAGGAACTACTCCACCTGAAGATGCTGCTCTAGACAGATCCTAGAGTCTGACCTTAGACTCTAGAGGGAAAAAAAACTAGAAAATCAACCCTGAACCTGATGATACGACTCCACAGAAGTCAGAGTTGAACATGGGGCCCCAGTATCCAAAGGGAAAAGGATGTGATCCATGCTTCTGAAGGTGGATGTTCAGAAATAGGCCCTATTGAATTGCAGTTTGACCTCTAGTTGCCTTGACTATTGATACAAACCTGAACTCAATACTCAGAGTGGTGGTTAAAGCTGGAAGAAGACATGGAAAGGCCAGCATCAGTGTCTGAACAGCCAGATGCCCAGCCAGGGAGCCTATGTTGAAGGCCATCCTTGCAGAAGAGTGAAATTCCACTGCTGACATTTGCCAGGGCATCAGGACTACTATGCTCCATTTGCCTCCTAGGCATAACAAAGGTTGTAGCTAGAGTTATTTATGCCCATCAGTCCATCACAGACCCAGAGCTTGTCCTTTCTTGCTGAACTGGGAATTACCCTGTAGTTGCTAGATAGTAAAGGAATCTGAGGACTCTCTGAGACAATGAGGGATGGGGAAGTGGAGATAAGGAGGACCAGAGCAGCATGTATGAAAGTATTTCCGAATTTCAATAATGGGCAAGACAGCACCTCTTCTTGCCTGGTGGATGTTAGTCAGATACTGAAGTAGGTGCTAACGGGTTAATATCATAGAATCCTCATGCTATGTTTATCTGTCTGTACTTGAAAAAAATTAATGCTTAGAGATTTCAAGGGTGCAATCCTAACTAAGGAAGCCTGCAAGGTTAGCTACTGACCTTTCTAGCTCAAACTTGAATGGCTTCATGATCAAATACTTTATGTTTGGATTTGGTTTTAAATTTTTTAGTCAGAGGCTCAGTACATACCCCAGGCCAGCCTAGAATTTGCTATATCCCAGACTGTCCTTAAACTCATAGTACTCCTGCCTCTACCTCCAAGTTCTGACATTGCAGGTATGTGCTGCCATACCTAACACAAATACTCTTAAAATGAAGTATACTGGACTCTGCCCTTAAAGAGTCCAGTGAGTCTGTGGACAAGTCAAGACTGCACTATAGGAAGCCTTTGGATATTTCTGATGCACAACTTCCAAAGTCCTTAATAGAATATATTGTCTCTCTTCCAGCAAGAAAACTGAGACACCCCCCTGTATGTGTGTGTGCACATACATACTCCCAGATTCATGTGTATAGAGGCCAAAAATCAACATCCAGTGTTGTGCCTTCCACTTTGTCTTTTGAGGCAGGGTTTCTTATTAGGACCCAGGGCTTAATGATTAGGCTAGGCTGCCTGGTCTGCAAACTCCAATAATCTGCCTGTCTGCCTCCCCAGAGCTGAGAATACAAATATGCACATGCACGCACACACACACACACACACACACACACACACACACACACACACACACA